GAGAGTCTTCGAAGAGAGTCGTCTCTTAGCTAGCTGTGGACTCCCTGCTTCCCCAACGCTATCGTGAAGTCGGCGAGTCAGTTGTATTCTTCCTCGATGTTGTCGATAACAGTATCTTCCCATTCACTCGCAAAGGAAGCGAAGTGTCCCAGTTGATAGAGGTTCAGAGGCTCCGTTTCCTAAACCTCACATCTCTCTCACGCATTGAGAAGCAGAATATAGCGCGGAGGAGGCGATGGCCCGATCCTGTGTAGAACTTCGGAACAACAGCGACGTCAGTCATGCAAAATCTCCGATTGAAGATGATGTGGTCTATTTCATTATGGAACTGTCCACCGGGTGACTCCCATGTCAATCGCGAATGAGAGGGCTTCTGGAACTTCGAGTTAGTACCATGGATGGTGTGGGTCGACTTGATGAACTCGGACAGCCTTTCACCGTGCTCATTCCATTCCATTCCGTGGGTCCCGATGTTTAGTTCTTCAGCCTTCTGGAACCAATCTCAGCCTTGAAATCGCGGCATCTTCCCTCTGCAGATTTATGTGAAACACTTCCAACTCCTCTTCTTCGTAGCTCGTTGGTGAGTAAGCAACGAAGGTGGTTAGAACTGAGGTTGAGCCACATCTTAATCGCGAACGTCCGAATTAGGTTGTTGGGCTTTCGTACGAATAGATGTTCATGGCCACATGCGTAATGACGAGGACACCTACGTCGTCGACGTCTCTGCTGTCGCATGTTTCAAGAAACAGTTCTTCTCCAGTCTTAATTACAGCGTGCAGCGGGCGATGCCATCTCGTCTCGGTCCTTCCGATAACGTCGTACTTGATCTTCCTGGCTTGCATCATCAGATCTGCGATGCACGCTTCCGGTGCAAGCGTTCGTGAATTTGAAGTGAAGATCGCCATCTTAGTCCTTCCCCTTTTGGGCAGTCTGGTTTGGCCCTGAGATTTTAGTAGCCTTTCTCGAGCGGTCCTACACAACGTCACAACGTGTAGCTTGTTAGGCTCTGATGTAGGGGCTGGGTTGAGTCCGGGAGCGAGCCAGGCTATCCCGAAGGGCTTTGGACGAGGAAGGCGGCCCCTAATCGCCTCCCAGATACTTCCCAGTCACTCGAATGCAGGCTTTTGGCTGAGTCGATGGGCAGGATACCAACTGCACTCACAGACTCTCCAACATGTATGCGAGGATACGCCTGCGAGAGACAGAAGGTATATCGACTAGCACAACAGAATCAAGGAGTTCATCCTCTGAATCACCTGGATCTCTGGGCAAGTACCGGTGGCTTTATGTCAGCGATTAGTTCCCTTATCCGCCACCTGGGGACGCCCTACGTAGCCTCGTCACTAACCGGCTGGCGATCTTTCAGCGAGAGAACCCTCAGTGAAGGAGATCCGTAGTACGTACTTAGTAGTGGATACGAGTACGTTTCAGGGAACTTCATAAAAATCCTGGTCATTAGGAGAAGTGTGCCCTCTCGGACATTGGATTGTAAACCGACAGGAATTTCCAACTCGGGAACGTGAACAATTTTTCCCTTCACTTTTTAGAAAAAGGTCACTTTACCCATGTTTTAAAATGATACAGCCACTTCATATTTTCCAGTCGCGTTCCATTTCCACCTTACAGAATTGCTTCATTTGTGTAATGTCTGGAATCCAGTTAATGATTGAGGGCAGTTGCTAAACGATTCCGATAAAGGTTAAATTCACGAAAAAAAGGGTGCAGGGACTGTCAGCTCGTAGAATCGCCTGAGATTTGGGCCGACGTTACACAGTTGTCGGCAATTTCGTCAGGAATCTTGCAGAGTAGAGACCAAAAGAAGTGAGGGTCGTTTTTCATTACTCCCCGCCAACTGATTGTAATCTACTAATTATCATTTGACTGCGTTGATTTGGTTAGGGGCGGCATCATTTTGAAACACAAGCGTGAACCAAGTGAAACAAGTGAACCTTTCTGATAAAGTAAGGGGAGAAATTCTCCGTGATCATGAGATGAAACTCGCTGCTGGTCTCAACTACGATCCGAATAAGGTACACTTTCTATACGAGACTTCGTATAAAGTGCCCTGGAAGTTGAGCTTCGGTGAAATTTAAGGTGGCTGTATCACTGAACACAGTGTATATGTATGTATGTGTATTTAATTCGTCTGCGCGTGTGTCAATGTCGGTGTGACAGCACGTTTATAATTTTCTGTTACCTTAGACTAGAGCGTTTGAATTCGAAAGGCGGAAGATCGAGCACTGACGTTAGCGTAGGTGGTAGGGAATGATAATAATAGATAGGAAGATAGAGTTGAGCCCCAGAAGTCAGGTGTCATACAATCCTTCAAGCCATTCGTGTTATCAGTGTTCTCCCGGAACATAAGAGGGAGAAAAGATTCTATGAAAGCTTGAAGCCTTATGATTGATGAAAAAACTGATAAGAGCTTATATTGAGGGCTTATAAGGAGCTATAGTGGGCAAGAGTCACACGAGCAGTTACACCAATCGTGATAACAGCAGAGTGCAGACCTTTTGGTACATATGTGATGTGGAGTGTGACCTATAGCTGATAACTACTACTGCTGATAACTGCTACTTCAGCGTGTTATACAGGGGTGCCACCGGTTCGCAGATGAGGGTTTACACTACTTGATAACAAGTGAGTTGGGCTATCCATGCGTAGTATGTCCACGACCGCTCATCCGTAGGCTTAAAACTTCCGCAGATACTTCATCAGGTGATATCGAATTTCGATGCAGACAGACAGACGCGAGCGCTTTATATATAGTAGGGATAGCCTTGACATTCTGTCATATTACATAGAATGAGCTGGATCATGAAATCATATGTATCACCTGTCGTCCCATTGATCAAAGATTTCCTCGAGCGGACGCCAGTAACGACTCCATTCGTTCCTGTCACGAGCCAGAGTGGTCCAGTGAGTAGTACCCGCTTGAGGGGCACAAGATCCAACAGTCCTTCCGTTCAGAGCTTTGCTGAAGAAATCTGACTATCTCGTTGTCATGGAATAGGTTGGCAAAATAATTGATTAGTGCAGTGATAAGGACCGATCATCGTCAAGACCATCTGAGGTGAACAAAGTTAGGCTCATGTCTCTTTATTGAAAAACCAGTTTGGCTGTACCGCTAACGCGCGCATCACATTAATTAATCAACCAACTGATCTGGACACGCAGTGCTGCGATTATGTAGTCAAAAGCAGCACTCGACATAGAAGTTACTTTTATCATTGGCTCAAAGAACTTTACTCCGTAGGAAGGTGAAAGGAGCTCATTCTAACGCTGCTAACAGTTGGATGTGCTCACCGTATTTATGAGCAAAGTCTCTTAAAAAAGGCCTAGTGACTTTTCATACCTCAAGAAGAAGCAGAATGCAAAAATAGGTGGATGTTATCGAGGGAACTTTTTCTCCAGGTATATATCATTTATAGAGGCTTGCATGCAGATTATTAGCGGTCGGATAAGTTCTGCCATGAACGATATCAAAGCAGAGGGGAACCGTGACCCTTCATTGAATCGCAAACTTCGCTGGGTAGCGGTCGTGAGCAAGAAAAGAACCAAATTTTTCATAGTTGGTCCCTATCAATGCACTTACCCTCTTTGTCGAATGAAAGATATCGAAGAATCAAAGCTAGATCGTAAACAATAAAGGCGCTAGGATATAACTGGTGATTGGGTCTTATTCTCTTAGGCCTCTTCTCGTCAGTGACCCCTTCCTGCCCCCTCTACTCCTATTGATACTGCTCTCCGAATCCACGAGATCAGGAGTTTTCGCTCAGCATCTATTTCGCGAAAACCCCTTCCCCTGTGGGCGCAATTCGGCCCTACTGCCCAATATAAGTGTTCGCGTACTGCCGCCTATTCTTCTACCAAATTTTCCAGGCCCTGAAGCCAAATTGAAAATAGTCGCGCACAGCCGGCCTCCTATGGGCCGGTCCGGTCTTTCCACCTAACATAAGTGTTCCCATCCTGCCGCCTATACTCCTGCCAAGTTTGAACGCCCTAAGGCAAAATTGGCAATTTTGGCGCAAACGCCGCACATTGTGGACGCGGTCCGTTCCTGCCACCCGCCATTAATGTTCCCATCCTGCCTCCTGTACTCTTACCAAGTTTGAACGCTCTAGATCCACGGAGACAGAAGTTACGAATTTACTGCAAACAAACAGTTGTACAGACAGACAGACAGACAGACGAGAGCGCTTTATATATGTTAGCAAGGATGCTGACGCCTCGTTGCCGAGAGGTAAGAGACCAAATATTCCTTGCTTCCGAAATCACTTTCCGCGAAACCTATCCGATTATCAATGATCTGAGAATTGCAGCTGGTGATTTATACATGAAGAACATTCTGATAGCGTTATCACCAATCGACAATATTAGGAATTATCATTCAGTGCTAACTTGGGAAACGCCGGTGCCTTACAATTAGTAGATTCACTGTATGCACCACAAGTTGAGTTTGAAATGTCGTTATGAGAGGCTGCCCACTTCGGAAATCTTGTGGTCACATATAAGCTTTTGTTCCTACATATAAAAAGAATAAGGGACAGCCGTGCGTGGCACCTTGTAGCCAGGCGGAGCGTGTACCGGCGTAGCCAGCCGACCTGGCCGGTGAATAGTAAGCTCATTCAGAGGCTAAAGCATTTTTGAAAGGTGGAGCAATCAAATCCTTGAACCTTCATCACGGCTCCACTAGCGCACCTTCCATTCTGGTTCGGCTTTCAGTGAAAATGAAGTGGGGGACCAATGTTCTTTTCCATCATTGTGCGATAGAGCGCAGAGAAAGAGGGGTAGCCGACTTCGCGAGCCAATAATGTTGCCAAAAAACCTTGTTAGCCAAGAAAATATGAACAGTTCTTTCTACCTCAGCCTGGAGAGAAGAGAAGCACCAGGGTGGGTGAATCAACCGAACGCTCAATTCTTACCTGATCTCGGTTTTTGCACGAGGAAATCTTGTTACCCAACTCGGCGCTGGCCTCTTCCTCTAGCCTAGGTGAAAAGTATATATTTTTTTACTAGGAACAGCCTTCGAGCCAAAGTAAAGTAGGCTATTCCTCCTTCTCTGCGTTCTAGCGCTCATCTGTTGGAGAAGAGTGGCACCACTCCTTTCCCTACATGTTTACATTCTCACCGGCTCCGCTGTCATTAGGCTATTGAGCTAGCTCCGTTTGCCCCCTATGTATGCGCATTTTGATTGCACTGTCCACGGTATTGGATGTAAAACTAAATGCGAGTAGAAAAAACCTATTACGATATTTGTGTTTACGTTATGTTTAGGGATTTTACCCAGGGAATACAATAATTATATTGACGTTCTTGTTCAATCTTCACACAAACTTGTTACTGCGTATTAGATGAGGGGATCCTTCGCACAGTTCCTTGACAATTTTCACCCAAACCCCAGTATATCAATACCAGTTTGGCTACGCACGCTAATGCGTGCACCACATTCCCACTCCCGCTTACATAGGACTTGTTAGAGGACCAATACGAACAGTATCGCATGATTTCACATTTCATAACTTCGTTGTACCTGCAAAACTTTCGAAAAGACGCAAAAACGGGCATACAAACAGACGCACAAAGTTACCGCTTCATATATAGAGACAGTCGGACCGCCCGGCTAATGCCGGGCTC